AACAAGGCAGCAAAGCTGTCAAATGTACAGACAAAAAACAGGAAATAACTATGCACAAAATAGGCTACTGTCAATTCTGATGCAAAAATACATTATGTTAAACTGCAAATTCAACATCAAATTTTAATTATCCTCAACAGGTAATACCAATGTAATTAAAATATGTGACAAGTTTACACTTTGAAAATGTATAACTTCCAGAAAAAGAAGTCACTTAGACTGCTTTTCCAACTCAGACTGCATTTTAGTCCTGTATTTCTTTTTTGAAAGTTTGGCAATCATAAGTAACATGGTTTTCCCATAATGGTCATCATGGCAGCAGCACCCAAAATTGTGTTTTCTTCTATTCTGATGCCATATTACATAATGGTTAACAGCATAATGACCATCAATTTTTAATAATAAAATATATGTATCATGGATTTTCAGAAAATGTGACTAGCATGGGTCTTCAAGCCTGTGGAACTTCAAAGTCACACCTTGAAAATGCCAATATGTGAACCAGAACAGCATGTCTGTAACAAAACCAGGGGTTTATAATAGCCATGGAAAATAATATTTTGTTCATTTCTAAGTAAAGACAAATATTTTTATTACACATCTGTTTTACTTTCAATTTCAAATTAACTGTACTCACAAAATAAGAAACGATAGGAGAAACTCTGTTTTGCTATGCTCTATAAAAAACAATCAAAATCATTCAAGCCTTACAAGCCAAAAAATATTTTTAACAAAATGAATAAACTTGAATAATCTACTCTAAATAGTCTTGTGAATCAGAGGTACAAAAAGTGTTATTTAAACACTGTACATGACATTATTCCTTGTTTTAGTGTTATTGAGTGCGAAGAATGAACATTTCAACTTCACAAATGACACATCTCCAACAGTGTCAATTAAATTATATATCTTTCTTTGTTCTGTCTTCATTCTAAGAGTAAGAAGAGAAATCCTATCCTAGTCTTATTTCCATAAACCCCATGGAAAGAAGTTTCAATGGAACATAAATATTCTCCAAGTAGGTGGTATTTTCCTTTCTGAAATTAAGAAATATATGCAACATGACATATAAATCACATGAAGATTTGTCATTGCTCAATTTGTTAAATTTTTTAATGTGTTTAACACACCGAAACTGATTAGAAAGCAAAGCTGAGAAATACACAGACACCATACAGGAAACAAACCAGCAAAACTGACAAATGCTGAAACATGACAGCAAAAAGTGCACCAAATAATGTTAAAGTTTTCTTTGATGTTTTGATATTAAAGACATTTAACATTAAAGTAGCAAGTGATCCAGTTTTACGGGATATATAAGCCACTGAAAATGTCAATGGGTGAAAAAAAAATGATATAAAAATAATAACTACTGTAAATGTCAACTGATCATGCTGATTTTAGAAAGCAACCTGTTTTTTTTACCAAACAAATCTACTCATTAAATTGGTAGTGAAACAAGAATATGGTTTGAACTTGAACTATGACTGTCTTTAATATGATGATTTTGTTCTTGCTTTCATCATTTATGTAAAATATGAGATATAAACATATATTTAACAATATAACGTGTATAATTTTATAAAAGTAAAGAAGAGCACAATAATGTGTGAAAATGTAGGACTAATTGTGTAACTTAGAATTGAAATTAATGAAATAATTCAGTAAACAAATATTATTTGTCAATTTATAATATTATGAAGTTGAAGAAATGTGGAATTTAGAGTTACACATGCTAATTTGATAATAGTGCTCATTACTATTTTGTGTAAAAAGTAAATAAGTATAACTTGATAGAGGAAATGTGGGCGTATTTAGTCCGGTATAATCTGTTGGTTGTTGATGTGTCATATTAACTGCTTTTGAAATGTATTGAGGGACATGTTGTATTGAATTTTGATTCTTCAAAACTGAAATGAGTGTGACAATATTTTTCCACATGTATAGGTAGAAATAAATAAACTTTTTTTAAAGAAGGGTTAAGATTTTGTTAATGTTACTTCTGCACATGTGTTTAGCTGTATATGTGGTTGGAAGTACATAAGGTTAAATGAAATTTGGAAGTAATTTGTCTTATAATCTGTAATAAAAATTTAAAGGCAATTTTTGGGAAAAGACAGACAGACTGGAAAGTGATCACCAAAATAAGTGGGCAAAACTATAATTTTAAGATCTGCATGATCAAAGTTTGTGAAGACAAGATCTAAGGCTGAGTCATAAATGGTAGTTGGAGTTGTGACATGTTGTCTAAACATAAGGTCTTGGCACATCATTTTTCTGAGAGCATTTGCATTGTTTTCATGGAGCCAGTTGACATTAAAGTCACCTATAATAACACATTTGTCTGTCTTATCAATAGTGTCAAGAATATTTCTCAAAGCCTCAAGAAGAACCTGCATTTTACCATGAGGAGGTCGGTAAATTGTGACGAGAACAAAGCCAGGAAACTGATCTAATCGTGTGACAGTAATCTCAATTCCAGAAAAGTTGTAATTTTTTGGAAAATTCTCTGAAAATCTATGGTGACTGTAGACNCGTTTAGTGATGTGCTGTATTTGAAGTTAAAGCATGGGTGTCTTTGTATGAACAGAGCATCGTTTCAAGTTTTTTTAAAATAAAAAGTAAGTTGATGGAAGAGCATTAGTAATTTTTTCTTTATTAAAGGTCTTTAACATCAGAACTTAAGGGTGGTTCCTTATAACAAAATGTAAAGAAAGCGGACCGAGAGAAAATGGAACAAATGAACAGAATGGAAATTGCAGCACATGTTGGAATACATAGATAAGCGAAATATGAAGATAAAAACAAATGTAAGTTGCAAGTTCGCCCTAAATATTTCAATTTTCATTCTGAATGACGATCCTCAAAAAGACCAAAAGTGCTCAGTGCCGCGGCGTGGGCGTCAAAGTCGCCCCATTGTGAGCAGTCCACGTGTCTGGTGTAGGGACAGTCTTGGTAGTTGATGACCAACTGCTGGCGAGCCTGACGTATTCTGTCAATGAGTGCCTTCGTGATCAGCGTAGAACTGGCATCCAGGTAATATAGTCTGGGAGAAGTGTTCCTGATCAGCAGGTGATGAAGCCCGCTGTCGTCGAGTTTATAACACTGCTTCAGAATGAGTGTTTTTAAGGCGGGAAGTTCAATGAGAACGTTCTGAATGCATTGGTTTGTGAGACGAAAACATCGAGTGAGATTAAGATACTCTAGAGCCTTCAGTTCTCTATAAATGGTGAACATGCCCGCATCGCCGAAGTGCTGCCCGTCTGCTAGGTTCAAAGACTTCATCTTGTTTAGTCCCCTGCCGATTTTAGTGAGCCCCACGTCGGTGACGAAACACTGAGCCATGCTGAGAGTTTCCAGGTTTTTACAACACCCTGCGACCACTTCTAGGCAGTGGTCAGTGGCGTGGGTATGTCCAAGGTCTAATGAGACTAGGAATGGACAGAGCATGGCGTACTTGCAGACGTCCATGTCCAGTATAGGGGCATGTTCGCTGTAGTTGGAGAACCAGCAAATATTGAGGTATTTGACGTTGGCACAGTGTTCCGCTATGTATCCCACTTTATACGGATCCTGTCGCATTCCCAAGCACCTGGCCATTTCTAGCCGCTGCAAACTTGCTTTGTGTGCCGTAACGGCATCCAGGATTGCCCCACATGTTATGAGTCTGCATTCGTTGATGATAAGTGTACGCAGATTTTTAACGGCGTCGGCTACTAGTCGTATTGCAGCGTCGGTGACCAGAGAGCAACCCGCTATATTAATATGACACAGTCTGCGGCACTTGGAGATGAGGCAAGCCAAAAACTCGTCAGTAACAGACAAACAGAATGACGTGTCCAGGTGGGTGAGCATGTTGGACGACATTCCCATGACTTGAAGGAGTAGTTTAGGCGGTAAATCATTATGGGCTTCCAATGTATCTCTGTACCACAGGCTGCGGTCCTTCATCAAATTAAACAACCGCCTACAGACACAGCGGACGGACAGAAAGGAGGAATCCATGGCAACAAAACGTAATATATGGAGTATGACGTCATCGGGTAGTTGAATGAGGGTGATTGGATCTTTGCCTTGATCTTGATCATCTAAAATATAGAAAAATGAATGACAAGATGTTTGCAAATTAATCAAAATAAAAAGCGCAAATTGATCAAAATAAAATGCGTTTTAAAATAGCATAAATCATGTGCAAAGGGATGAACTGCTGTCGCGAAAACAGATTTTAAACGAGTATTCGACCCTGTTTCCTGCTCAGTGGTAGCTCCAGTTCACTTGTTCAGTCCAAATACTTGCAACGCATTTGCGTGGCCATTTTTTGATTTCATTCAAAAGTGAGTTTACTACCGCCGTAGCCAAATTAAGTTGAGAATTTAGATGTTTACAACGTATATCTATTAAGTTCATTCAATATTTAATGTTAATAATATTTTTATTACAAAAATATTGCCCACTTTGTATTAGATCAATTTTTCCGTCCATGATTTGGGCCCGTGAGGCGCACCTATATCACATACATTGTGAAAAAAGCACTCCCTTTTCGGAAAGTATACACCCACGGCCGTAAAAAGAGGTTGCAGCCTAACGAAAAAAATTCTCTTTGACTATAGAGTGCGCCAGTAGTCTGTTGCAAAATTATTGTTTCGCTCACACTTAAAATTTTGTTTACTATTTAAGAAGCCACTGATGTCATAGGGACGAAAAAATATTGGGTTGAGGGAAGGCCTGCCCTGGGGTCCGTGTTATCAGTAAAATAGTCCCTTGTCTATCTCACCTATGGCTTACAATATGATATCTAGACTTAAAGGGGCTAAACAAGACACTTAATAAATTCTTAATCGGACCAGAATTCGATTAAAGTCGATAAATTGTAAACTGATACAAGGGTAAGATGTTCATGGCAACTTGCCAACAGTGAGATACTGTAAACAGGTCAAGATCCTCCCAATTCACTAAACCTACAGGTTCACATCAGCAATAAGAAAATAGTTCATCTTAAAATACCGATAAGAAGTATGCCAACGCTCACCTCTGACAAAAGAAAGATTAATGCGACTCTAAACAACGGTTGCGGTACTGTCATGTGCTGTAATAAGGGGAAATCACAATTAATATAAATTTAAGTTACCGATCAAGTATAGGGGGGGAAACAGCCTTTGAGATTAATATCATGTTAACGAATAGAAAATAACCTGCAATTGTATAATCAGATTCTTTTAAGTCGACCCTTGCACTGTCATTGACGGGGAATCTTAGTTCCTCTGTTTGAACAGGCGCGTTTTTGGTTTGTTTAGCAACAGGTTGGGCGTCCGACATAAAAGCAAGAGGTGCGTCCGTCTGTGCCACTTCATCTCTATGCTCGACGACCGCGCTGTTTGCGGTTACAGTGTACCGCTGCTGACGGCCTCGACCTAACAGTCTGCCCAGCTTGCGCCATGGCTGGAAAAGAAATGTCATTTGTCCAGTACTTAATATGCACAAGTTTTTAGAAAGAGAAATAATAAAAAGGCGTCTTAATCGTTAGTCAGCAATGTGTACGCAAATTTTAGAAAATTACGCATTATTTCATTTTGAAGTGTTTTGAAAAAATGACTTTGATGAGATTATCATGATGATAATACCAAGGAAAATATTTTAAAAAAGAAGAAACCTATCATACCATTTCGTCCACCGCGGTTGTGATGACTGGTAGTTACGTCACAGAAGAAACACGTCATGTGAGACGGCAGGAAGGTTTAGCGCGTCACAACTTTGCGGCGTCTTTCTTTTGCAGTTTCCACGAGGGCTGTCAAAAAAGAATAAAAAAAACTCATCCAAACTTTTGGACCAATATCGAAATCTACTTTTTTAAATAGTACGTCTACTTTCATTGGATTAAACATTTCGCTGTCCACAACTATGAAAGGGAAAGTTTGCAGTATTACACAGCTTCAGTAGCGCAAGAAACATAGGGCCTAAATACTTTACTAAATTGTTAATTTTTTTATCCCCAATTATAAAAGACAAACTACTGCCCATAAAATCATCCACGATAATTTAATCTTGTTTTCGAAACTGTTCTTGTTGTACCGAATTTATACTCCCTTATTAATACATTAATAACAACGCACCAAAACGCATTTTCACTATTCTGATCCTCTCTGCGTAATCTAGAATATCAATATCAAATGGGGAAAATAGTAAAATTTAAGTAAATTATTCAACTTGCTTTATTTTGACATAAAATTATGAAAAATTATTGAATCATTGCCCTTATTAAACAGATTTTGCTTGCTCCTTTTCATTTATCTATTAACAATGTTTTCTTTAAATTTCATCAACTTGTTTAGGCCCTAAATATTTTTGGAGGGAGGGAAGGTGTGAAAACAAATATCTCTGCACTGTCCTTTATGTAAAGTATATAAAAATCCAATGCCCTCCCCTCCTCTTATATTTTTTCAGATTTGACTTGAAATCGTGATTTGAAATCGTGAAGCCTCCTTTTCAACATTGCCCAAGGAGACCACAAACAAAGCCAAGACATTACTGGACTTGAAACAAGTTACGAGGTGACTCTTAAGGGTTTTTTTTTTCACTGACCATTTTCAACGTGTTCGTAATAAATTTGCGTCTTCCATTAAAATTAAATTCTTTTTTTTTTGTTCCTCTTATTGGGGAGTAAAAACCAAGCTCAGTATCTTTTTTTTATGTGTGTGAAGGATCATGTATCGCAGTCGTTGCCAAAATAACATGTATGTTTTCATACATGTAAGTAAGGCTCTCCTTTTTATCTCTCTTTTTTATTGAGAGTGAAATCCCCATGAACAGGTGTGAAAAAAACTAGGCTATTCTTTTAAACTATAAAAACATAGTGATTCTCAATATTACACCATAAAGACAATATCGATGAGATTTTTCGAAGAGCACTTAACAAATTGGTAATACTAATTGTCCGCGGTTGATTTTAACGAATACCCTTTTGAACTGTCAAAGATGAAAGGATTTGGTTATCAGCGACTTTTAATATATACCGGCATATCTATTTAGTCATGAATTAAATTTTCGTTTGCATTGAAATCATTTATCTTCATAACTGTCCCTGTATTATCTCTCAATCACAGCAATTGAATTCACCGGGAAAGTTAATGACATCATCTTGTGATGCTTATAGGTAGCTGCTAAACCAACCATCTTCCGGGCACTTCCCATAGTCATTATGTTTACCAGAGCTTTCCAGAATATTACTAGATTCCCATGTCTCCTGCTATTATTTCCTTGCGATTTCAGTTTTTAAAAAGTCCGTAGTGCCCGTAAATGAAGACAATGACAACAGGTAACATTCAACGACAGCCCAGAGAGCAGTACACTGCAGCAAACTCTTCAAACTATTTTCGAGCGAGATCTACTGTACCCCCCCTCCCCCAAACACACACAGACACACACGAAAAAAACAGGGATTAAGTTTGAGAAGTTTAAATTGTTTGACATAATTCTGATTTTTGTTACGCAATGGCTTACAGTCACGCATGCCTTCGTATTTGCAAACTAAGACAATTTGCGTGCTGCTATCTTTCTGACACTTCAACAATTGTGTACACAACTCTGATCCCCTGGCGCTCAGAATCTAGATTCTCTCAATTGACTTTGTCGTATCCACTTTGGTCGCCAAGCGATTGTAAGACCCCATTCCCAGAGATTAGATCGATCCAAACTAGATCGACCTAACTCCCTGGGGGTTCACGCTAAATAGCTGTCAGCCGAGCCGGCACGAAAGTTAATTACCCCCTTACAGCTTGTAGTAGGCGGGACGGACATTTAAGCCGGATTATCTGACAGTAATCTAGTGAGACTCCCCATGGGGATAGATCGATCTAAAATCTATGGGAATACGCCCTAAGACATATTTGACTAAACAAGTTAAAAGTTTGGTCACGGTTCTGTGTTCCTCTTGAATTTTCCGAGATGTTCGGGTGACAACGAAGTATATCCTTAAGAGATGAATTGCCTACACGTCGTTTGTGTTCTAGCCTTTTGTTTCCGTGAGTATTATAATAGTTTTAGTATGTTAATCAAGTTTGTTTCTGAAGAATATTTGACATCCAGTCGCTATAATATACATAATCATCTATTATTTCACTGGATTGCAAAAAGTATAAGCTATTAATTAGGAGTTCAGTAAAAGAATTTAAAAAAATTACGTTCTTTATTTATTTCACCTCACAAAGGCTACTTTATTTTTCAAAAGCATTTTTTATGCTGATCGAATCTTTTTTGTGCGATGGTAATCATTGATCTTTCGACCGGTAACTTCTCGAAATATGAACATATTTTTGTTATGAACATTGTGGTAATTCGTCACTCCAGGTTGCGTGCACACCCAGGTGTCTTGTTCGTTTGAGGACGGACCATGTGGTTGGCACAACGTCAGTGATGACCCACAACAAGGATGGGGGATCTGGCACATGAAAAAGCAGATTCTTAAACGCCCCCACGATGGTGGTGTATATTCAGGACCTCGTGATGACCATACCCTTCAAAGTAGAAACAATTTTATTGGTCATTTCCACAATTATATATTTATTGCCTCTTGCATGCATGAGGTGCTCTCCATTAATGTGGATGACCTACTGCTGGTCGCACAAGATTTTTAATTTCATTTATTTATATATATTTATTTTTGCCTGACATGGCATTGTGATATTCTATCAAAACAAATGAATCAAAATTTTGAAAAGTTCATTTTAGTTTTTGTAATTCCCCCTTTCCAGATCTACAGGGGAGTTACCTCTATTACACATACACAACGTCTACGCCCATGATGTGCGTGGATAGCCAAACAGAAATCCAACTAGAAAGTAGTTTTCTGAACCTAAGAAGAGGGGTTAATCTTAGCTTCTGGTATGTGTTAAGAGGACGCACAGTCGGCCACTTGCGCCTTTTTGGTAAGAACGAAGTTTTACTTTGGGACTCCTCCGTTAATCACACCGGTTCTGAGGAGTGGACGCAAGCCATTGTTCAGCTACAGC